TGGGGGACGGTGCCCTGCCTGCAGGTGTGTGGTGGGGACAAGGGACCGGCCTGCGGGTGGGTGCTGGGGACGAGGGGACCGGCCTGCAGGTGGGTGCTGGGGACCAGGGGACCTGCCTGTGGATGGGTGCTGGGGACCAGGGGACCTGCCTGCAGGTGGGTGCTGGGGACGAGGGGACCTGCCCCGCTCAGGGTGCGCGCGCAGGGACAGGGCAGCCTGCAGTGCCCCCGGCCTCCCCTGCTCCTTCTCCTTTGCTTTGCTGCCTCCAACCAGCTGCCGCACAGAACACAGGGGCTGCCGCAGAGCGGGTTCTGCTTCGGAGATGTGCTGACTTTGTTCTGCACTTTGCTTTTCAAGTGTTTTCTAGAAAATGATAGAGTCCTTGTTTCAAATGAGGGGCTCTGGAGATGCATTAGCACTGTGTATGTGTAGCTGATTACAGAAATTAATGCATAAATGCTTAAATATGGTGTCCTGGGAAAGGAGATATTTGAACTGACAACTACAAAAGGCGGGACAAGGAACCATGTGGACAGGGAGCTGCATTTAAGCAACCTTGTGGTCTCTGAAGGATGAAAGTTGCTCTGAATATGTACCTAGGAGAACACCCTGCTCTGGATTGCTGTTCTCCCCACTGACAACCAGGCTCTGGACTCCAGCAGGGAGTGGGAGGCAGGAGGGTGGGAACAGGGCTTTATATCCCTGTGCCCAGGGTGACTGGGTGTCTCTTGCACATCCAGGTTACCTGGCTCTGGGCTTGGGACTTGTCTGTCTTCCAAAAAGAAGAGAGGAGCAAACAAACTCCATTGATTTCTTTTCTGTAGTACCTACAAAGTTTCTTCTCTGCCTTTGCCCTTGTTCTTTCCAGAAACTTCAGAATTCTGTTTCTTCTCTCTTAGAATTTGTCACCATCTTAAAAAGTAATTTAAGAACTAGCCACCTCCTTATCATCCTCTGCAACGTGTCTGAACCGGCCTTGCTCCATGCGAAGCAGGGGTTCCAGTCAATCAAGTCTGGGAAGCTGTTTTTAGTGCAGCCCCTGCCGTGCATGGAGTGGGGGTGAACCCTGGCCTGGCGCACGCAGAGCCACGGGGCCACG